GCCACATTCCCATCACACACCCATGCCCGTGCGGCTGCAGCACGCACCTGTTCTTGTAGCGCGTTCGCCTGCTCGTTCAGGACCTCCAGCTTCTCCCCGCGATTGATCACCTGCCGGGTCAGCGAGCGCGAAAACACACAGAGACCAGGCTGGTAAGCACGGGGGCTAAGAAAGCCGTGGGAGGGGGCGCAACGAGAGGGCAGGTAAGCGTGACTGCATATTTGCGGCTAGGTCAGAGGGAAAGAAAAAAGTAAAAGAAGAAGAAGCAGAAGAAGAAGAAAGTATAGAAGATTTCTTTCGCGCGCTCACCTTGCGGATGTTGTCTACCATAACGCCTTTCACCTCCTCCACCTGCCCCTTTATCTTGACCAACTTGCTCAGCTCCTCCGGCCTCGCCGTCCCCTCTTTCAGCTGCTGCTTCAGCTTCGGCCTACCATGCACGGACGTGGGAATAGTGGCGCAACGGTTGGTGGAGCAGGAGCAGCGAGGGGAGCGATATAGAAATGGAGAGACGGGTCAGGCGAGTACAACAAGCGTCGGGCAATCAAGCCTCACCGAGCGGTACTAATACGTCGCGTAACAGCAGCGCGATGCTTCCTTTCTTCACTGCGACGCCGTTTCGGCGCCCCCCATCTCCCGGTCCGGGCCCGCTGACTCACCCAAACTCGCGCTGCAGCGCGCCCGCGGGCATGGCGCGCGCCTTGCTGCCGTACTTGGGCATGAAACCCGAGTGGAGCTTCCCCAGGAACCCGCGCAGCACGTCGCGCGCCACCTCCTTGTCCGCCAGCACTCCGAACACTGCGAGGGGTGGGGGGTATCAGTGGGGGAAGATGGGGGAGAAGGGGGGACAGGCGCGGGGGTGGACAGGGGTGGGACGCGCAGGGTGGTGAGGACAAGAACGCGTTGACTCGTGGAGGCGGAGCATTTAAGTGTAGGCGATATTTCGCTGTCGAGGTGTGTGCTGCGTAAGGAGACCGGAGCGAAAAGCCGGCTGTTGATTATATTCCATTGAGGGCACAGGATTGTGAGGAGGGTTTACGGGAAGCAAGAGAAAACAGGTCTACATGCGGCAAGCTATTCCCACATTCGCTCCCCGGCTCGCAACTTCGCGAACTACCTTCCCATTGCCAACCAATCCCGGAGCACTCCGCCCAACTCCTCTCCTATAACGTTAACCCTGGCGCCGCGCTGCTTCCCATTGGACCTTCGTCCGGGCCCGCGACGCGTACCGTATTCCTTCTCCGTCTGGAATGCGATAATGAAGTCGCCGTACGGCATCGCGATGTACGTGGCGCGGTCTTTGGGCAGCACGGCGAGGCACTCCTGCACCGTGGCGCTCAGGTCGCCCTTCACCATCGAATGCTCCGCCAGCACGTCCACGTCGCGCGATACCATTGCGTACCGCAACTCGCCGCGCTTCGGCGCATCGCCGCCCGTCGCCATGATGAGGCCGCCCGCGTCGCCCGAGTTTCGAGGGAGTCTCGCGGACGATTTATGGCTGTGCGGTTCCACCGAATTCCGCGGATGCCGCTTTCTCGGTAGATTCGAGTCGTTCAGGTGAGCTGTGATGAAGTTTTCTTGAAATGCTGCTGTGAGGCGGTGCTGTCCCTCTGCAGAGATGTTCGCAGCGAAGAGTAACGGGAAACGAAGGATTGCTGAACTAAAGCACGGTGACCTATTCGTTGGTCCTCGGAAGCCTGAGTCTGCTCGAAACAGCGATTGCAATGCGAATATTGACAGTGCATGCCAGAGCGTGAAAGATTCAGTTGCAGTCTAGCAGGTTCGGGTGCACGCAGAAAAACATGGGACAGAGCTCCTAAGCTGCGGAACTGGGAGAGCTTCTCTTGCCGTGTGGTTGAATGTCGCAAGGAACAAGAACGCGGGGCAGTGGAGGATGTTGGTGGTGCTGCAACATTATTGGAGATGGACAACGAGAGATTTGAAATAATTGCGCGACGCGACATGCACAGACGTCGCTGCGCCATATGATTGTTTGTGTATGATTCCAGAATCTTATAATTTGTGTGTAGCATGAACGCTATGATAACAGCAGCATAGTACGTAGAGCCATCAGATATCTGGACAACTCACGCAAAGCCACCAGCATACACGGAGAGCGTTCTTAAAAATTTCCCAGACACTTTCACACCTTATAATCTACTGGACAACTCACGTAAAAAGTTAGCGCAAAACATTAACATTGAACATGCACAGCAGCAGCCGTTGACTTAGCAGCTACCTGGAAAGTGTACCCTAAAAGCACGTGAGAGTAACAGTTAAAATAGCATATACGGCAGTAGTGTTTATCCTTCAGCGTTAATATTGTGTTATTCTACCTTCAGAGTTGCTGGTGCCGGTGAGAATATTTTGTTGCACATAGTTGAAACAGGTCCAGTAAGGGTCAGGAGAGGTCGATAGGTTGGTCCCGATTGCCCTCCTTGCTTTCCTTGAGCTTCTTTATCCCTGCGGTGGAGCCAAGGATGAGATGGAGATGGAGGAGACAGACGGCATACAGGTGAACGGCCCAGTGAAAATTAAAATGTTGTGTGTGTGTGTGTGTGTGTGCGCGCGCGCGCGCGTGCGTTCGTGCGTGCGTGCGTGCGTGTGTGTGTGCGTGTGCCTGTGCGTGTGCCTGTGCGTGTGCGTGGTGCGTGGTGCGTGCGTGCGTGTGTGTGTGTGTGTGTGTGTGTGTGTGTGTGTGTGTGTGCCTGTGTATGTGCATGTGTCTGTGTGCGCGCGCGCATGTATTAAAAACGGAGTGGTGGTTCCAAGGAGTCAGTCACCCACAACACCCAGCACAGCAGCCACAGCATCCCACTCCCTCCCGCCTTCCCCCTCTCTCTACCCCCTCTCCTTATCCCCACAAGCATCGTACCATCGAGGATGGGCATGACAGTGGGCGCAGGCAGGTGCACGCCCACATACTTGTTTCCATCGCTTGCCTCCACATGTGCCACCTGCACCCGCTTGTGCTGCGCCGATGACTGCGAAAGGAGAGGAGCAGGGGGGGTGGGGAGGGAGGGGTTTACGAGGGTTGAGGAAAGGAGGGCGGAAGCAGGACGATGGTAGAGAGAGCAAGACGACGGAAAATTGGTGTGTGCACGTGTGCCATGAGCAGTGTAGCATGAGCATGTGTGGCACAAGCATGTGTGGCATGAGCATGACGCTCATGATCTGCATGCTTGCTTGCCTGCGCCATGAGCGCCTCTCAACCACTTGCCTGCGCCATGAGCGCCTCTCAACCACTTGCCTGTGCCATGAGCGCCTCTCAACCACTTGCCTGCGCCATGAGCGCCTCTCAACCACTTGCCTGCGCCATGAGCGCCTCTCAACCACTTGCCTGCGCCATGAGCGCCTCTCAACCACTTGCCTGCGCCATGAGCGCCTCTCAACCACTTGCCTGCGCCATGAGCGCCTCTCAACCACTTGCCTGCGCCATGAGCGCCTCTCAACCACTCGCCTGTGCCATGAGCGCCTCTCAACCACTTGCCTGCGCCATGAGCGCCTCTCAACCACTTGCCTGCGCCATGAGCGCCTCTCAACCACTTGCCTGCGCCATGAGCGCCTCTCAACCACCACTTGCCTGCGCCATGAGCGCCTCTCAACCACTTGCCTGCGCCATGAGCGCCTCTCAACCACTCGCCTGTGCCATGAGCGCCTCTCAACCACTTGCCTGCGCCATGAGCGCCTCTCAACCACTTGCCTGCGCCATGAGCGCCTCTCAACCACTTGCCTGCGCCATGAGCGCCTCTCAACCACTTGCCTGCGCCATGAGCGCCTCTCAACCACTTGCCTGCGCCATGAGCGCCTCTCAACCACTTGCCTGCGCCATGAGCGCCTCTCAACCACTTGCCTGCGCCATGAGCGCCTCTCAACCACTTGCCTGCGCCATGAGCGCCTCTCAACCACTTGCCTGTGCCATGAGCGCCTGGTCAATGACGCCAAAGACAGGGAACACGGCCCCATGCAGCAGGTGTATCTGCTGCAGCCGCAACCCCACCCTGCAGCTTGCCCCTGCCCTGCACTTGGGACCGTGCATGCACTGGATGGGAGGAGGGGCAACGAGGTGGCAGGACAAGGGTGGAGGATGGCTATAGATGTAGGAAGGACACACATGGTAGGTATGTTTCTGATTCCCCGCCATTACTGAGAGACAGGACGTGAGGTGGATGAGGGATGCTGGGAGTGAGTGAAGGGTGATGGGAGCTGAAATAAACAGTGAGAACAGGGGATAAATACACAGCACAGCTCAATCTCCTCTTAACGGTTCACACTATCAGCTGAGTGCATGATTGAGCTGTGCACGCTATGAGCTGCAAGTGTCATAAGCAGGACACAATGCGGACTCAAAGGCACCCTTCAACTCAAGTACAATGTGCAAGGCATCATGCAGCGCTGACCGACCCATGTGCAGCGCAGCTCACCTGAGTGGCGGACAGCTCATACTCCGCATCCCAAATGGCTTGCAGTGATGACAGCCTGGCGGGCGGCAGCTTGGAATACTTGTCCAGAAAGTCCACCAGAGGGGTGGTCCTGGCCGGCACATGCAGGGACGGGCGGGATGGGCAGACGAGGAAGGTGGGATGTTTGAGTCTACTAATAAGGCAGCTTGGTATACTTGTCCGAAAAGTCCCACAGAGGGGTGGGCCTCGCACGGCACACGCAAGGAAGGGTGAGAAGGAAAGGAGTGGACATGGAAAGGTATACAGCGAGCCTGGAGAAGGTGTAGTGGACGTGCGTGGCTCTAAGGAGGGAGACACTAGTGGAGAGAGTAACCCACCCACGTGGGTGGCATGGTAACGGTCAAGAGGAGAACAACATGGCTTTTTGAGGAGAGAAAACCGCCTGAAAACGATGGAAGGGTATTGCTGAACTCAACTAGACGTGTAGACACTAGTGTACTGGAAACACCTCTTTTCTGCTGCATGCACCCTCTGCACCACTGCCCTTGCTACTCCTGCCCTCTCTCCCTCTACCCTCTCTCCCTCTGCCCTATGCACCTGTTAGCTGCAGACGTGCGTGGTCGGAATATCTGCACTGCTGCTTTCTGTCCCGGTGTTGGCGGACTGCTCCATGCAGGCATGGGGATGGTGAGATGGTGGGGTGGGGGCATGGCACAGAGGCCCGGGAGGGAGATGACTCAGAGGAAAAGGGCAGGATGGGCCAACGCATCGCAACAAAGGCTAGACTAGGCACAAGGTAGTGCACTGCCTGCCGCATGCATATACCAAGTGGCAGGCCCACGGAGCAGAGAGATGGAGAAGAGAGATGGAGCAGAGAGATGGAGCAGAGAGATGGAGAAGAGAGATGGAGCAGAGAGATGGAGAAGAGAGATGGAGCAGAGAGATGGAGAAGAGAGCGGATGGAGCAGAGAGCGGATGGAGCAGAGAGCGGCGTAGGAACAGCAGACAGAGAGAGGCGCACACACCAGAGGAGGGCCAGCAGGTAGTGCTTGCGCCCTAGCCACTCCCTCTGTGACACATAGAACCCGTTCACTCGTGCCGCTCGCTCCCTCCACTGCCTCGCCTCCCTCGCTTCCGTCCCCTCCTCCTTCCCATCCTTCCGCTCCTCTTTCACCTCCTTCACCTCCTTCCCCTCCTTCCCCTCCTTCCCCTCCCTCCCCTCCTTCTCATTCCCATCTTTTCCATCCTTTCCATCCCTCTCCTTCCCCTCCTTCCCCTCCTCTTTCCCATCTTGCCCCTCCTCCAAACTACCCTCCTCAATCTTCACCTGTCCACCCTCCACACCGTCACCACTCCCCCCCTCCCCCTCCCCCTGCTTCCTCTTCTTCCCCCTCGCCTCCTTCCCCTTCTCCCCCTCCTCCAAATCCCCGCTCTCCCCATCCTCCTCCCCGCCCCCCTCCGCCCTGCCCTGCTGCCCCACCTTAGCTGATGCATCATTGAATAGTTGCCGGGCAGACTGGAATAGAATGGCAGCAGAAGAGAGCATTGGAGGGGAGGGAGCATTGGAGTGGACATTGAAAAGCTTGATGGGTCAGTGATAAGCCTGCGAGGGTAATGTAAAGACAGGAGGGAGGCTTGAAGAGAGGAGCAAACGATTGAAGCTATGATAAAGGCATGGTGGGCGCATGGTGGGCGGATTGTGGGCGAATTGTGGGCGGATTGTGGGTGCATTGTGAGGGCATGGTGGGCGCATGAGCGCACGTACCTCCCAGTTGAGACCTTTGTCGATGGTGAGAACAACATGGAAGGTCTTGCCTCCTGATACCTCATCCTCACACACCACCTGGTGCACACATGGATACATGCACGCCCACACACGCACGCAGACGCACACGCACACAAAGGCACAGATTGCATTTGAAAGATGATGAGAACGATTCAGGTGCCGGCGCACAGACTCGGTCCACACCGCACAACCCACGCTGTGTGACGCTCCAAGCACAGCCGGAAACCCGTGCTCCACAACATTCCGAAATGTCTCAAGAACAAACAAGGACTGCGGCGCTGCAGGCTCACTCACTCACCCGTGCGTGCTCACTGATTGATTATACCCACATCTAGCTTGCCCTCCTTGAAACTGCACTCTTGTCAATCACATTCTGTAGAATCCTCAAGAACAAGGAACTGCGGCGCTGCAGGCTCACTCACCTGCGACGGCTGTGTGACGGTGTTTCTGGGCGCGCGTACGCTGATGATACCCACGCCCGGCTCGCCCTCCTTGTGATCGCCCTCTCCTCACACACATTCTGTAAACTCCTCGAGAACAAGAACTGCCTCACCTGCGACGGCTGTGTGACTGTGATTCTGGGCGCGCGCACGCTGATGATGCCCATGTCCAGCTCGCCCTCCTTGCGCGCTGTCGCCACTAGGTGCGCGAATATGGCCGCAAAGAACTCAAACAACCTGGAGTGGGGAGAGGGAGGGGAGGGAGTGGGGGGGAGGTGCCAGAAAACACTTTTATTTCCAAGCAGCCTTCGTAGACTGGCGTTATTTGAGGGGGAAGCGAGGAAGGGAGTCTGACAGGGAGGATGGGGGGAGGAAGGGGAGAAGACGGGGGACATGGGGGGTGATGGAGCTGTGGAACGATGGGCTGGTGCAGGAAGAACGCAGCAATGGCGAGAATATGGAGCGATGGGATGCCGAGCTTCCGTTCTTTAGTTACATGCAGAATCACAGGCGGTGCATGCGAGGCAAACGGAGTAACAGCAGGACAATGCGAGCACCGATTAGCCAGAGTTCCACTAAGCATGCGTGCATGCATGTGGGAGGGCTGGTGGGTGGGCGGGTGGGCGGCAGGCAGGCGGGCAGGCAGGCAGGCGGGCAGGCAGGCAGGCACCTGTTCTGCTGTGCAGGCTGCAGTCCCAACATGCGGTTGAGGAAGCGAGCCACGTCTGACATGTCCGACTCAGGGATCTTCCCCCCCACCGCATACATGCCCCCCGCTGCCGCTGCTGCTGCCGCCACATGGGAGTGGACGGGTGGAGGAGAGCCGGAAACGGGGGAGACGAAGGGAGAGACGAGCATAAGTGGTGGAGGTGAAGGAGTTGGGGACTTAGGCAAATATTGGTTGCATGCTGCCTTGTGAAGGTGTACCTTGCAAATATTTTCAGGCACCAATACACGATGGACTCATATACATCATGTCCATCCATATCGCACATGTCCAGTTGGCATACATGTGGTTGGCACATGTAAACTCACATGTGTTGAAGGTCGGATCTCTGACGATCCCAACAATAATCAGGGCAGCTCGGGCAGCCTGGTAAAACTTCACCCAGGCGTCGTCAAACTTTTGCGGGCAGCCGGGGGGTGGTGCGGGGGCAGGCATGTTATCCATGATGCAACGATACATGGTGGAGAGGGCCCGCTTGCCCCACACGCCCTCGTAGTTGAATGCTGACAGGGACGGACCCGCCCTGAGGAAAGGGGGAGAGGGGGGGGGGGGGAAGGGGGAGGGGAGACAAGGTATGAGAGTTGCAAAGGCACCAAGGTTAGAATGTGCAGGGTTCCCTGGAAGGGGGTATAGGGGTGGGCAGGAGAACAGCATGCAGCGAGCAGCCGGGGGGTGGTGCAGGGTGGGCATGTTATCCATGATGCAGCGATACATGGTGGAGAGGGCTCTCTTGCCCCACACGCCCTCGGAGTTGAAAGCTGAGAGCGACGGGCCCGCCCTGGGGAAAGCAGAGCACTACGAGGATGCTGTTAGGTAGCAGCAGCAGGGTTGGTGCATGTGCAGGGCTGTTTCAGGAGGCGGGTTGGAGGGGCTAGCAGCATGGGGTTGAAATGGTTGAAACAGGAAGCAGAGTTGGGAGGGGGCGGGTATATACCTGCACCAGCGCACACACCTGCACCAGCAGCACCACACACACCTGAACCAGCAGCACCACACACACCTGAACCAGCAGCACCACACACACCTGCACCAGCAGCACCACACACACCTGCGGTCCCCCTGTGTGAGAGCTCCCAGTGACTCCAGGCGCTTGGCCACCACCGAGGCAAACCGCTTCTCACCCCCCAGCTCCGTGAATAGCAGCCTGAGAGGGGGTGGCGCGTGGGGGGTGGAGGGAGTAAAAGGGGTGAGGTGGGGGAGCGAAGGGGAAGGTGAGTAGCGTCACAACTGAATAACTATTACGCGGAGACGAAGGGCAATGATTTGAGGGCAGAGCAGAGACGAGCTGCTACTCTGGTTCTACCTCTGGGAAACGCGCGTCTCTAGAAAATAACACTGCCGCCCACCTGCAATACCACCCACCTGTACTGCCGCCCACCTGCAATACCACCCACTTGTACTGCCACCCACCTGCAATACCGCCCACCTGCACTGCCGCCCACCTGCAATACCACCCACCTGCACTGCCGCCCACCTGCACTGCCGCCCACCTGTACTGCCGCCCACCTGTACTGCCGCCCACCTGTACTGCTGCCCACCTGTACTGCCGCCCACCTGCACTGCCGCCCACCTGTACTGCCGCCCACCTGTACTGCCGCCCACCTGTACTGCGGCGCGCTGGCCTGGTTGGAGCGGTGGGAGCGGCCAAACTGCTGGATGGCACGGTCAGCACTCCATGGCAGCTCCACCGTTATGTGCACCCGGCGCCGCTGCGAGGGAGGGGGGAAAGGATAGGAGGGGACTTCTGAGTCAACTCACGAGTCACCTCCAAACTGCTGGATGGCACGGTCGAACTTCACGGCAGCTCCACCGTGATGTGCACCCGGCGGCGCTGAGGAGGTGGGGGAAACAGGTGGCCAGTTGGGGAACAGACCAAAGTGCGTGGGGAAGAGAAAGGGGGGCGGGAAGGGGAGAAGAGGGGAAGGAAGAGGGGACAGTTGTGATAGAGAGCGCACAGACACGTAGGGGTGTGGTTGGGTTAAAAGGGGAGGCTTGGTACATTACATGGGTAGGGTGGAAGAGGAGCAGCGCACCTGGTTTTTAGCGCGGCGGTCGGCCTGCAGGGAGATGCCAGCGCTGGCGGCCTCGGAGATGATGGCGATGAGCTTGTCCCCCGCCATGAATAGCGCCTTCTCCCTCATGTTCACCATCTCCGCTGCCACGTCCTTGCTGGTGGGGACGGAGTGGAGTGGAGCGGGGTGGAGTGGGGTGGGGTGGGGTGGGGTGGGGTGGGGTGGGACCGGTGAGACAGAAACAGCAGTGCAAGTGAGACAGGCGATGCATGCACGAATGCGTGCATGGAAGCGTGACAGGCATCGACGCGCATTGCACAGGCATGACTCACAAGGTCACGAGTTCACACATGCGTGTAGCCACGGTGCAATGCATGGCAGTACTTTTGAGGCACCTCAAAAGTCTTCTGAGGCGTGACTCACGAGTTCCTCGCCTGGTAGCTGACGGTGCCCTTGCCTTCCCCCGTGGTTGTGCGCACCAGCATGCCCCTCCGCCCTGTCATCTCCGCCACTGCCTCTGGCCCTCCCAGCTGCTCCCATGCACGCATGTACACACACACACCACCACACCAGCACACCGAAACACAGCCACACATCCACATAGCCAGTCGCCCGCACACTCACACACCCGTACACCCACACACACACCCACACACCACACACACACCCACACACCCACACACTCACACACCACACACACACCCACCCAGTCACATACAGAGTGCGTATCAGCAGTGTGTGCAGTGGATATGATCAGCAGAAAGTCATCCCACAGAACAATAGCTGGCGCCATCTAGTAACGGCCGGAAGCAGCAAAAAGGCTCACTCACGCCCACTCGCACCCACTCACGCCCACTCGCACCCACTCGCACCCACTCGCACCCACTCGCACCCACTCGCACCCACTCGCACCCACTCGCACCCACTCGCACCCACTCACACCCACTCGCACCCACTCGCACCCACTCGCACCCACTCACACCCACTCGCACCCACTCTCGCCCACTCACCTTGTCTATGAGCTCATCCAGAGGGTTGTTCGGCAGAGGAAGCTTCTTGATGGCTTCCATGATCTCGGCCTTGCGAGCGACAGCCGTGTTATACCTGGTGATGGGGGGCGATAGAATCAAAGGGTGGACTGCTGTGGCGGCTCAGTAAGAGTGACTTAAGAAAGAGGTGAACACGGGTGTAGGGATAGAACACACATATTTCGAGGAATGAAAGTCGACCGACACGTTTCGACCACGCCCTGCGGAGCCCTCCCCTGCCATGGCATGTCATACCATGCCTGGATAGGCTTGTATCTTGAACCCGCTACTGTAAATACTGAGCGCATGAACCCTCCTGAAAGCACTAACCTGGCTTCCATCTCAGAGAGGTAAGTCTCTCTCTCCGTGCGAATCTCACTCGTTGTCTTGTCACACTCCCCACACAGCCACGGCACCTGCGCCTCCCCCTCCTCCTCCTGCCCGCTGCTCCCCCCTTCACTCCCACTGCTGCTCCCTCCTGCCTTCCTGCTCTTCGTTTTTTTCCTCTCCTCCTCCTCAATCCCCTCCTCCGCCTCCTCCCTTCCACTCTCCTCCTCCTCATCCACGTCATCATCTCCCAGGTCTATTGGGCTCGCCACGTCACCTCCTCGATTCCTTGTTCCCCCCGCCAGCCGCTCGCTGCCTGCTGCTGACCTGGTGCTGACGTGGCCTCGGGGGGCGTCAGCCAACCAGGGGTGGTAACCGCCGCTTCTGCCGGTGTGCCTCTCAAAGCACGCCACGTGGCCGACACGCGAGCACACCGCACATGCCATCAGCGACCCAGACAGCTGAAAGGAGGGCAGATGGGAGGGAGGGAGGGTGGGAAGAGGGTAGAGAGAAGGGCGTGCATGGGAAGCAACAGATTCAAGAGAAGTGTGTGTGCTTGCTTCTTGGGAAGCTTTAAAAAGGGACAGGAAGCAGACTCGAGAGAGGGGCATATGCTGGTGATGGGCATTCTGAAAGACATCAAAATGAGCAAAGAAGGCGAGGCGCAGTCAGTGGGTGGGTGGGTGGGAGGTGGGAGCGAGGCGAGGCGCACCTCCTCGTCATGGCAGATCTGGCAGATGTCTCCTTGAAAGTCACTGTCGTCCGATGATGTCTCTGATGCCGCTGGGCACATGGGCGGTGGGCGCGAGGGAGCGAGGGGTGAGAGGGGTGCAAGGTGTGAGAGGGGTGAGATGAGAATGAGAGGTTGAGGGAGTGAGGGAGTGAGGGGGGATGCTGCGAGCCATGGTCATGTGAGAGGGTTTAGTCGATTGCCTTCACTGCCCTAACATTGACACTAGGTGCGACCAGCTGATGCTGTCACATGTACTCCTCACATTCCCACCCATCTACTCTCACCTCGGCTTTACCTACTGCATCCCTCAGTCCCTCCCCCCACGACCCCCAGACCCCCATGACCTCCATGACCCCCATGACCCTCCCCACCAACCCAACCACTTCACACCTCCCCCTTAACCGCCTCACTCCCCAGCCACCGTCCGCATGCCTCACCATCGAAGTCCTCGTCCCCGTCCTCCTCGCTATCATCGCTCTCGTACTTGACTGCGCGCCGCACCCTCCCCCGCTGCGACACCGACACACCCCGACTCACGCCCCTCTCCTGCTCCCGCTCCCGCTCCTTCTTCAGCTCTTCGCCCTCTGAGTGGGAGTCAAGGGAGTGCAATGCGGTGCATAAAGGTGGACGATGAGGATGGAGTGGAGGGACAGCGGGGAGTCGCAAGGAATGGAACGCACTAGTAAGGCCCATGACAGGTGGAACTAGGCAAGCTTCCAAGGGTCAAGGAGGAGCAGTCGATGCATCAAAGCCACTTTTGAGAATAAGAATAAAGAACAAACCACCAGTAGAGCCCATGGAACGGCAGGGCAGGGCAGGGCAGGGCAGGGCAGGGCAGGGCAGGGCAGGGCAGCAGCAGACGTTTGGGCAGGGCCGGTGGCGGGGGCAGTGGGTAGGTCTCCTCCACGAGCTTGAGCAGGATCTCCCTGGGGCCACTCACAAAGTCGTCCATCTCCGTGCCCTGGGAGGACAACGCACGGGGGAGATGGGGGGAAGAATGGGGAGGGAACTTTTGAGTCGAGTAAAGTCACAAGCACGGTCTCATTCCCCCACGAGCTTGAGAAGGATCCCCCCACGCACTCACAAAGTTGCCCATTTCTGTGCCCTGGGGGGCAATGCAGGCGCAGGGGGAGATGAGGGCGGATGGGGGGAGAGGAGAGGGGGGAGGGAAATGTTAGAGTCGGACGCAGAAATCACACACAGGTCTCATTCCTCCACAAGCTTGAGCAGTATCTCCCTGGGGCCACTCACAAAGCCGTCCATTCCCGTACCCTGGGAGCAATGCAGGAGGAGATGAGGGCGGAAAGGGGAAGAGGAATGGGCGGGGGAGGGTGGGTTGGGAGAGGGGGGAGGGGGGAGAAAGGGCGATGGAGAAAGGGCGATGGAGAAAGGGCGATGGAGAAAGGGCGAGGGATGGAGGAGTAGCGAAGCATGGGCAGAACTGTGGATGGTGAAGTTGATGCATAGCACACTGAATATGGCCTACAGCCAAGTTGCCCCCCTTTCCCCAGCTCCTCCCAAGCATCCACGCACAGCGCCCCCTTCCCCTCCCCTCTCCCCGCTGCACCAGTTTAGTGACAGCCTCATCGGTCCTGGCCTCACCTGTGCTCTGCAGCCCTATGATCACGCACTTGCCCTCCGCCACTGGCTGCTGCTGTCAATACCCTTTCCCCATCCTCCCTCCCACACCATCCCCTCCCTCTCCACCCTCCCCCACCGCACCCAGCGCACCAGTTTAGCAACAGCCTCGTCGGTGCGGGCCTCGCCTGTGCTCTGCAGCCCGATGACCACGCACTTGCCCTCCGCTATTGCTTGCTGCACCATGCGCACCGCTGCTGGCACCTTGGCGCTGATGCACAGATGGCGGAAGAACCGCTGGCAGAGAAGAGGGAGGGGGAGAGAAGGAGAAGGCGAGGGGAAAAGGAAGGGGGGGGGGGGGGGGGGGGGGGGGAGAGCGGGGGAAGAGGAAGGGGGAAGGGTGAATTGAGGCACGTTGAAGCCATGCGCACTGCTGCTGGCACCTTGGCACTGAAAGAAGGAGTGTTTTGAGACGTCTCAAAACACTCCTTCTGCCATGCGCACTGCTGCTGGCACCTTGGCACTGAAAGAAGGAGTGTTTTGAGACGTCTCAAAACACTCCTTCTGCCATGCGCACTGCTGCTGGCACCTTGGCACTGAAAGAAGGAGTGTTTTGAGACGTCTCAAAACACTCCTTCTGCCATGCGCACTGCTGCTGGCACCTTGGCACTGAAAGAAGGAGTGTTTTGAGACGTCTCAAAACACTCCTTCTGCCATGCGCACTGCTGCTGGCACCTTGGCACTGAAAGAAGGAGTGTTTTGAGACGTCTCAAAACACTCCTTCTGCCATGCGCACTGCTGCTGGCACCTTGGCACTGAAAGAAGGAGTGTTTTGAGACGTCTCAAAACACTCCTTCTGCCATGCGCACTGCTGCTGGCACCTTGGCACTGAAAGAAGGAGTGTTTTGAGACGTCTCAAAACACTCCTTCTGCCATGCGCACTGCTGCTGGCACCTTGGCACTGAAAGAAGGAGTGTTTTGAGACGTCTCAAAACACTCCTTCTGCCATGCGCACTGCTGCTGGCACCTTGGCACTGAAAGAAGGAGTGTTTTGAGACGTCTCAAAACACTCCTTCTGCCATGCGCACTGCTGCTGGCACCTTGGCACTGATGCACAGATGGTGGAAGAAACGCTGGTGGAAAGGGGGGAGCGGGTGGGGAGAGGGGGAGAGAGGAGGGGGGAAAGGACGGGGAGAGGTGAGTTGCGGCGCGTCGGAAGATGCACAGATGCTGTAAGACCCGCTGGAATGGTGGGGATAAGACCCGCTGGAATGGTGGGGATAAGAGGGACGAGGGGTTGGATGTGTGGGTTGAGTGCTGCATTTGAGGCGCCTAGAACAAATGCACTGAAGTTGGAATAGCAGGTGCAATGGAAGGGGGGGAGAGGGCCAAAGGCAGGTTGCGGGTGGGGAGGAGAGGAAGGGAGAGGAGGATGAGGGTGATAGAATCTTTACAGTAGGGGAGCGCGGTGCCGGAATGATGCGAGGAGGGTGAGCAGCTGGAAGGAGACAATACGTGCTCTGTGCTCTGGTGCTCTGGTGCTCTCATCCCCCATCCTCCTCCTCATCCTACCCCCACCCCCTTTCTCCCGCCCCTCCCTCCTTCCACAGCACCTGGTGCGCGGCCCAGAAGGTTCGCCAGACAGCGTTGGCGGAGGAGCGCTTGGAGGAGTCGGAGGCAGAGGCGCTCTGTGCGGAGGACAGGGCGAGCGCCGCTGCTATCATGTCCGCCCTCAGCTCCGCCCACAGCTGCGCCGCCTTGGAGTACATCTCCTGGTGGGGGGAAAAGGGAGGAGTTGGAGAGAGGGAAAAGGGGGGAGAAGGAAGGGGTTGGGGAGACGTGAGGGGAGAGGTGGCGCTATCATGTCCGCCCTCAGCTCCGCCCATGGCAGTGCCGTGCATCTCGTGAAGGTGGAGGGGAAGGGTGGGGGGGTGGAAACGGGAGATGGGAAGAGGAGAAAAGGGTGAGAGGCGGACGAGGAAACGTGGGCGGTGGGTCGCCCTTGATGCCGATTCGCACAGGCGAGTGCAGAGAGCAACTCAAGCTTGCTGCGGTTCGAACCCTTTCAACTCTGAGCAAGCACCAGCCATTGCAGACACACAGCAATCCAACCGTCCACAAACATCCAGCCTTCCCGCCCGCCAACCCTCCCCCTCCCTCTGGCCGCACGGCTCACCTGCATGCTGGGCTCCAGTGGCACGTGCACCACCTCGAATTGACTTTTGAGTCGACTAAAAAACCAACCCTCTGCCCGCACGGCACGGCACGCACCTGCATGCTGGGCTCCAGTGGCACGTGCACCACCTCGAACTCCGCCCCGTCGAAGCTCAGCGTGCGACACACGTACATGCCCCTGCCGTTTGGAGGGGGTGAAGAGAAGGGCAACGGGGAGGGCAGAACGGGGGAGTTGAAGGCAGAAGGGGATGGAGAGGCAGGCAGGGGTAGGGGGAGAGAGATGTGAGGGAATGACACGAGTGCATGGAGGCAGGGTGGAGGGGGGGGGGGTAGCTATGTGAATTGGATGCATAGGGTAGCTTGGTTCATGGGCATGGGCATGGGCATGGGCATGGGCATGGGCATGGGCGCATGGGCATGGGCATGGGCATGGGCATGGGAATGGGCATGGGCATGGGAATGGGCATGGGCATGGGCATGGGCATGGGCATGGGAATGGGAATGGGCATGGGCATGGGCATGGGCATGGGCATGGGCATGGGCATGGGAATGGGCATGGGCATGGGCATGGGCATGGGCATGGGCATGGGCATGGGCATGGGAATGGGCATGGGCATGGGAATGGGCATGGGCATGGGCATTGGCATGGGAATGGGAATGGGCATGGGCATGGGCATGGGCATGGGCATGGGCATGGGCATGGGCATGGGCATGGGCATGGGCATGGGCATGGGCATGGGCATGGGCATGGGCATGGGCATGGGCATGGGCATGGGCATGGGCATGGGCATGGGCATGGGCATGGGCATGGGAATGGGCATGGGCATGGCATGGGCATGGGCATGGGCATGGGCATGGGAATGGGCATGGGCATGGGCATGGGCATGGGCATGGGCATGGGCATGGGCATGGGAATGGGCATGGGCATGGGAATGGGCATGGGCATGGGCATGGGCATTGGCATGGGAATGGGAATGGGCATGGGCATGGGCATGGGCATGGGCATGGGCATGGGCATGGGCATGGGCGCATGGGCATGGGCATGGGCATGGGCATGGGAATGGGCATGGGCATGGGAATGGGCATGGGCATGGGCATGGGCATGGGCATGGGAATGGGAATGGGCATGGGCATGGGCATGGGCATGGGCATGGGCATGGGCATGGGAATGGGCATGGGCATGGGCATGGGCATGGGCATGGGCATGGGCATGGGAATGGGCATGGGCATGGGAATGGGCATGGGCATGGGCATGGGCATTGGCATGGGAATGGGAATGGGCATGGGCATGGGCATGGGCATGGGCATGGGCATGGGCATGGGCATGGGCATGGGCATGGGCATGGGCATGGGCATGGGCATGGGCATGGGAATGGGCATGGGCATGGGCATGGGCATGGGCATGGGCATGGGCATGGGCATGGGCATGGGAATGGGCATGGGCATGGGCATGGGCATGGGCATGGGCATGGGCATGGGAATGGGCATGGGCATGGGCATGGGCATGGGCATGGGCATGGGCATGGGCATGGGAATGGGCATGGGCATGGGAATGGGCATGGGCATGGGCATGGGCATTGGCATGGGAATGGGAATGGGCATGGGCATGGGCATGGGCATGGGCATGGGCATGGGCATGGGCATGGGCGCATGGGCATGGGCATGGGCATGGGCATGGGAATGGGCATGGGCATGGGAATGGGCATGGGCATGGGCATGGGCATGGGCATGGGAATGGGAATGGGAATGGGCATGGGCATGGGCATGGGCATGGGCATGGGAATGGGCATGGGCATGGGCATGGGCATGGGCATGGGCATGGGCATGGGCATGGGAATGGGCATGGGCATGGGAATGGGCATGGGCATGGGCATGGGCATTGGCATGGGAATGGGAATGGGCATGGGCATGGGCATGGGCATGGGCATGGGCATGGGCATGGGCATGGGCATGGGCATGGGCATGGGCATGGGCATGGGCATGGGCATGGGAATGGGCATGGGCATGGGCATGGGCATGGGCATGGGCATGGGCATGGGCATGGGCATGGGAATGGGCATGGGCATGGGCATGGGCATGGGCATGGGCATGGAAATGGGCAGAGCTCTGACCGGGCTTTCATGTCCATTGCCATGAGCTCCAGCGCTCCCACTCCCCGCTTGTCAATCGTGCCTGCAGCAGGCAACGGCGGGACAAGGCGGCAGGAAAGGGGGAAGGGAGGAAGTGGCATGGAGGAGCCCATGGTTGAAAACTGTGACAGGGGAATTGTTTAGGAGTGCGACATGACTGTCTACGAGGGGGTATAGTAGTGGAAGCGCATGATATGACAGGGATTGAAGTCACTGAACTCAAAATCGTAAACTTGAGACCGGAACCCTTGAGCCAAACTGCAACGTACTGTGACGTGTGTGTGAAAGAGCCCGTGAGTATCAGTGTGTGAGAAGGTCAGCGTGCGAGCGAGCAAGCAAGTGCGATATAGAGGGGACGCAGTGAGTGTGTGCAGAGGCAGGCACCAACCGAGGAAGTGTTGGAAGTTGAGGAAGGGCGTGCCATCGCCCCACAGCCCCAGGCGTGTCATGTACCCCACGTGCCGTGGCTCCGATGCGCCTGTGGCACTGCAGTACACCACTCGCGCATTTGGTAGCTTCGCCTGCCAGGGTGGAAAGGGCGGAGGGATGCACGGATGTGCATGGGGAGGATGGGGGAATGGAAGAGGTGCAAGTGCAAGGGGGTTTTATTTAACGGTTCTCTCAGAACAGGGAAGGGTTCAAGGGAGCGGCGAGGTGTAGGGAGGAAATGAGAGGCGAGGAGGCGAGAAGGCGTGTGGGAAAGAATGGGGGGAGCAGCAATCAGAGACGGGAGTTCTCTCCACTAAAGGCCTGTAGCACACAGCATGCGAGACCCACACACCACCCCTATCCTCTCTGCTCCATCTCCCTCTCTCCCAAAATCGCCCCGCCCCACCTCGTATCACATCACATGTGACCCCCACATCACATCTATCCCCATCCTACCCTACCCACTCTCTCTCCCCCGACTTCCTCCGACCTACCCTCACCACCCTACCTGCAGCTCCATGACGGCCTCGCCTGTGCGAGTGGCGTTGCCCCCTGACTCAGGCACTAGGTTCTTGGCCTTGTGACACTGCCATGCGTGCATGCATGCACACATGCACACACACACGCACCCACGCATGCACGCACGCACGCGCGCACACACGCACGCACGCACGTACGCACGCACACACACACACACACGCACGCACACATGCGTGCACATGCGCACACACACACGAGAGAGCGCGTGCACAGCAAGCGAGGGAGGAGTAGAGGGATTGGGAAAAAGGGGGTGTGGATGATGAGGAAAGCTAAGAGTGTTGAGGTGAGGTTCCACAGCAGCCCCAATAGCACACATGCAAGTGAAATGAGGCTTTTCCGTTCTTCCCTCCAGCCAGTCATCAAAACCATCCCTCTCCCTTCCTACCTCCTCGTCTGCCTCCATTCCCCCCTGCCTCCATCCCTCCCTTCCCGTCCTCCCCACCTCGTCAAAGATAATGGCGCCATCGAAGCCAGGCGTGCACCACTGCGTGATCTGCTGCAGGCGCGACCGGCGGTTCTCTGCCGACGCGATGAGCGTGCTGTAGGTGAGGAACAGCACGCCCTCCTTGATCTGCAAGAGAAGGACGGGGTGGGGTGATGGGGGAGCGGGGTGTGTGAGGAGAGGGGGCGATGAGTGTGCTGTAGGTGAGGAACAGCACGCCCTCCTTGATCTGCCACCGCGGGGAGGGGAGGGGAGGGGGGTGGGTGATGGTTGATGGGAGGAGAAGGTGTGAGGGAGGACGGTGATGAGCGTGCTGCACGTCAGGAACAGCACGCCCCCCTTGATCTGCGCGCGTTGACGGGGGAGGAGGGGGGAAAGGGGGCGAGCGGGAGGAGGTGATGGGTGATGGGCGATAGGTGATGAGAGAAGGGTGTGAGGGAGGGGAGATGGCGATGAGCGTGCTGTACGTCAGCAACAGCACGCGCTCCTTGATCTGCGCGCGGAGGAGGGGGTGGGGTGATGGGGTGGGATGGCGGAGGAGTGGGGTGTGTGAGGAGGGGGTGATAATGAGGTGGTGGAGTTGGGAGCTGGCTGGCAATGGTACCGTACCAGGTGCCCTGTGAAGGTGGGCTTGGCTGGTGTGGAGGGGGTGTGGAGGGTGAGAGGAGATAGGACAGGTTAGCAGTAAGGGAAGGGAAGATGTAAATGCGGCGGGGCAGAAAAGGAGGGGTTCCGGTCAGGGGTTTCAGGTTTACATAGTTCAGGGGTTACTCTCGGGTGGAATAGCATTCTCTCCTCGAGCTATAAACATGCACTCAAACATGCAATGGCCCTGTTTCTCTCGAGACCTTTCCCAACCGACCTGCCCCCATCACCCCTCCCTAGTCAGCCATCATCACTGGCGACACACAGCACCGCCACCCCCTTCCCTACAACCCAACCCAGCACCCATCACCACCACCACCCTGCCCCACCACCCGGCACCCTGCCCCGCCACCCAGCGGCGAGCTGCCATGGCCCCCAGGGTGCGGGCGGACCTTGTTGGCCTTGGAGTCGAGCTTGCCGTAGGGCAGCTTGTTGAGCGCGTGCACTGGCGCAAGCGACCACACGGTTGTCACGTCAAGGCATTGTTGCGTTGAGTCGAGTCGTTGCATTGCCGCGACATGAATGCGGTGTGGACAGCAGGGCAATGTCGGAGTAAAAAGGGTGGGATGCGGCGGAAGGGGAAAGGGCCGGGGAGAAGAGAATGGTGAGCGGAGGGCGGAGAGCAGGAGAAATTATTGATTGAGGTCGAGAAGGGAAGATGAGGGTAGGGGAAATGGGACATAGATGTCAAGAAAGGCAGCTGTCACAGCGAACGAGACAAACATGAGTAGAGAAACAAGAAAGGGGCTGTGTTATTGACAGGAAAAACAGAAACGGATATCAGGAGGGAGAGAAGGAGCGAGGACAGGTGATTGGCAGGCATGGGTGGGGATGGGTTTGGATGGGTGGGGATGGGTGGCGATGGGTGGGGATGGGTGGGGATGGGTGGGGGTCGGCGGCTTGCACCTGGAATGTCGGTGGCACCAATGTCATCAAGATCCCTCCTGGCATCAAACCGTAGATCAGGGCCGATGGATATCCACCTGCCCGCCGGGTTTGATGAACACAAGAGGCGTGGTGATTGGCATGCCGGCAGGGGAAGGGGAAGAGGAAATGGAAGTGCTGGGGTTGGTGGGTGGGGGTTTTGAGGAGGATGGAGCAATGCAAGGGCAGGTAAAACAGCAGCACCACGACCTCCATTCCCACTCCTTCCCACTAGCTCCGTCCATCGTCCCTCCTTCCCATCCCTTTTCCACACCCCTTCTCCTTCCCCTCCAGTCTCTCCCCCCCACCCCCGTCTCACAGTGCGCGGCGGCGGGCTTGGTGTCAGTTCCCCAAGATGATCTCTGCCACTGTGCGTCCGTTTCAAAGGTCCCTCAACCCCCCACCCCACCCCGTCTCCATCCCCACCCCCTACTCACAGTGCGCGGCGGCGGCCTTGGTGCCAGTTCTCTCGTATAATCCCCGCCACTGTGCGCCCCTTGCCCACGCCCGCACCGTCCCCCAGAAAGAACCCCGCCCGCACGTTCCCCGGCAGCAGCTGCCTGTGCCGCTGCCACGTGGGCGGACCAGGGGGGGTGGGAGGGAGAGAGGTGGGGGGAGGTGGGTGGATAGGGGAGAGGAGACGGGAGAAGAAAGTGTGGAGGGAGGAATGTGAGTGGAAAGGGGTCGGGGTGGGTGCAGGGGGATGCTTGAGGCGTATGCAGGGAGGCGTGCTTCAAAACACCCATTTAAGCCCACTCATCCCATTACATCCCACCCCACTTCAACCGACACCATTACTTCCCACCCCATCAACTCTTCCCTCCCCCCTCCCCCTCCCTCCTTCCGCCTCTCCCTCGCCCCTTCCTCCTCACCTGGCTGGCATAACAGATCGTTTCCAGCTGCAATGACGACAGAGCGTTGGCCGCCACGTCATCCTGCCCCGTCAGCAGCGCCAGCTTGGACGGGTCGATGTCGGGCGGCTGCACGCCTGCCAGCGAGGCAGTCTCCACCACGGGGTCGGGGTGTGGGCGGCCCAGAGATAGCTTTGCAGGGCGCTGGCGGAAAAAAAAAGGTGTGTGAGAAAGAGGGAGGGGGGAAAAGAGAGGGAGAGGGAGAGGAAGGATAAAGAGAGGGAGAAAACGGGAGAGCTTGACCTGTTCATGACCGGGGTAGAGGGAGAGACGTAGGGGGGCAGAGAGGGAGGATGGAGAGAGCAGGGTAGAGGGAGCATGACCGGGGTTGATCCCAAGGCATTGAGTTGGGAGAGGCACAGGTGGAAAGCAGAGGAGAGAGTGATGGCCGGGAGGCTGGGGAAGAGAGGGGGAAAGCACAAGGACCAGGAGGGCACAGAGAAGAGGGTGGGGTGTGAGGAGGGTAAGAAGTGAGCGCAGGTGGGTGTGAAGGATGAGGATAGGAGGGAGAACGGAGGGAGAGCCGCGGTGAACAAAGGTCGTGCGCGGAGAGTGGGACGAGGGACGAGAGATGAAGAATGAGGGTAAGGGGCAGCGGTGGGGGTCACAGATGACTCACGTAAGCTGCGAAGGTCTCTCCCGCCACGCCTTCTTCGTCCTCCTCGTCTTGAATCAACGCCTGCGCGCCATGCACATACAGTACGGCACACCCAGGCCCACACGCATGCAGCATACCATACACACCATAACACGTGTCATGGCGCATGCGGCAAGCACACAACAGGCGAGTTCAGAGGAAACAACCAAGTCAGCACGTGCTGCGTATAGGGACAAGGGCAATAGCGGAAGCACACTCTCCTGCACATCGAATGTACCAGCAGCAGCACGGCCCACTCGCACGCACCTCTTTCGCGTCTGCCTCCACCTGTCTCGCCTCCTCCCCCGCCGTCGGCCCGCCCGCCCTCCCCCCCGTCATCATGCGCCGTAAGCTCGCATCCACCTCCGCTTGCGCCGCGCGCAAGCCCTCCCCCGCCATTCCCCCGCCCAGGCCCGCCAGGCTTCCCCCCGCCCCGGGCATCCCCCCCATCCCCGCGGGCCCATACGCGCCCATGCCCCCATCCCCTCCCATGGTAGGTGTGGACGCGGCGTAATAGCGCATCCCTAACCCATCCACTCTCCGCCTCTTCGCCTGCTCGCTTTCCGCCGCCGCCGCCGCAGCAGCAGCAGCCGCGGCCGCACCTGTCGCCGCGGCTGCCAATGTCGCGCCTGGTGCGGAGCCGTGAGGGGCGTGCGACGAGAGCATCATTTGGGAAGCCTGCTGCTGCTGCTGATGCTGTTGCTGATAGTATTGGGCTGCGCTTCGTTGCGCTGCGCCGGGATAAGCAGCAGCGCCGGCAGAACCACCAGCACCTGCATTCCCGGTGCCGCGAGCAGCAGCAGCTGCGGCTGCAGCAGCGGACGCAGAGGCTGCGGACTGAGCTCCCGCACTGGTGCCGCCGGCGTTACCACCGAGGGACGCTGCCATTTCGTTAAGCGATCGCATGTACGCGGCGAGCTTCGCATGGTCGACGGAGAGGTGCGAGGAGCAGCGCGGGCACTGGAAGCGCGATAGGCCGACGGGCACGCTGAGCACGGCATGGCAGTGCGCGCATGGCAGCTGGATCTTATCCGTCGTCGACGCGGGGAGAGACGCCGCGCCAGACGCGCCGTCCGCGCTCTGGTAGCCGTACGAACCCCCTGACGGGTACTGGTTCATGGTTGCCTAACCTAGGTGTTGGCCGAGTTTATGTTCTAGAAAGGTAACAGATAGAGACACTGAAAGGCGGAACCACGCACTGCAAATTTGTGATGAGACGACTGGTGAGCAGGAGAGACTGGGATGACTCGTCGTATGATGCGGTGAATGGTTGATAGAAATCGATCGAAAAGGGTTGAAATGGGTTTGTTTTCCTTCTTTCGAACATTCAAATTCTTGGATTTCGCATCGATCTCGCAACATGTTTTCTGTCAGCACGACCGAGCGGTCCCGTACCATGGGTCGCACAGCTGCAACCATTTCGTGGGGGAATCTGGTCGCATAAGATGATTCGACCTCGCCTCCCAGAGCTGTCCTTGTCGCAACACTGCTCGAGTGTCGTACGAAACATACTAGATATTGAAGCATTCTATTCAATGTGTATGGTACACCAACGTGTATACACACTTTGGTCACGCTTACAGGTCATCTACTTCAGACAAACTCAACGGCATCAAACAGATATAAGCGGCAACCTCATGGCAAGAAAGGGTTTAACGCAAGGCATTCATGCATACCCATGGGCCTGTCGTTTGAGTAAGCTTTGCACGCTAGGAGCACAATATAATAAAGACCATGCCACTTTCATGCACCCACTGCTCTGCTCTTATTGCTGAACCACAAAGACTACAGTTGCTGCAGGGTTTCCAAAATCTAAGGCAAACCTTCATTACCAACAGTGCCCCCTCTACGCCAAACCCAAAGCCAGCCTGATACACCACCTGCCTACACTGGACACACAAAACAGTAAATAAGATCACCAACTGTACAGCTAAGGCCTCAAAACAAGCCACCCTCGCATCACATCACTCTCCACCCACCTCCAATCACAACCCACCATCCTCTTTCCACACACCCCCCTCATCCCTCCCCTCCACACCCCCCTCACTCTCCCCCTTCTCCTCCTCTCCCCCACTCCTACTCAACTCCCTCTGCATGAGCCTTCTCCTGCGCTGGAAGGTGAGCAGCGGTGCAAGGGGGTGGTCCTGCTGCAAGGTGGTGTAGCCCGCAGAGGAGTAGAGCAGGAAGGGGGGGATATCCACGAGGCGGCAGTGCAGGCACATGGATGTTGCTCCCAGGGCCGCTGCCAGCTCCTCCACTGCTGACAGCAGCACTCGCGCGATGCCCAGCCTGATGGTGGGTGAGATGCGATGGAGTGGGGCGGGGTAGGTTGAAGTGGGGTGGGGTGGGGTGTGGTGGGTAAGGGTGAGTTCAAGGTGGGTTTAGGGCATGTTCCTACGCTCTTATCAGGCAAACCTCTTGTCAGCCTTGCCTGGTAAAAGTAGCGAGGGTTTTTGGGTTTAGGGAATTTTCAGTGTGTTTTGACGTGAGCTTGATAAGAGGTTGGCCTGATAAGGGGCCGTAGGAACATGCCCTTAGGGTGGATGAGGGAAGGATGTCAATATATGGCAGACGTTCAGAGGCCAGACAAGTAAGAGAGGTTCATGGTGGTGGTAAGATGGCAATGATTGATTCCTCATGCACACTCCCTCTTGCACACCCCCTCTTGCCCACTCCCTCTTGCACACCCCCTCTTGCCCACTCCCTCTTGCACACCCCCTCTTGCCCATTCCCTCTCCCAACTTCCATCCTGTACTCCTCACATTGCGCTCTCCCACATGCCGCCACCCACTGCCTGCATTGCCACCCACTGCCTGCATTGCCACCCACTGCCTGCTTTGCCACCCACTGCCTGCATTGCTGGCCACTCACCGCCTGTATTGCCACTCACCGCCTGTATTGATGTCCCACGGCCATGTTGCAGAGGTAAGCAGCATCAGGCGGGGGGTCAAGCGTGGGGAAGGCAGGGCGCGCCTTGCCTGTGAGTGCCAGCTCCACCACTCCCACCACTGGCCCCTCCGGTGGCGACGCTGTTGCTGCTGCGCCAGGCTGTAGCGGCTGCTGCTGCAGGCTGTAGCGGCGAACGTCGGAGGAGGGGGAAGGCGGGGGAGAGGAGGAGGAAGAGGAGGAGGAAGAGGAGGAGGAAGAGGAGGAGGAAGCAGCATCTGGCTCGCTGTCAGAAGAGTGAGGGGGTTGCTCCAGAGTAGCCACTAGCATCACGCCATGTGGCACAATGCGTAGTCGGCCTGCCACATAGACAGAGATCTGGTGGGCGGGGAGAGGTGCGACGTGTGAAAGGGAGAGGGGGGGGAGGGAAGGGGGGGGCACCATGTGTACAGCACAGAGAAGGTGAGCAGCATGGCACAGGCTAATCCCCGCTGACAACAGTCCATCCCTACCCATCCCAAAGTTTGCAACCCTAACCCAGAAACCCTAGCTTCCAGCCCAAACCCCCCTCTCGCAGAAACCCGAGAATCGCACCTGCATGCGCAGCAGCGGCTTGAACGTCATGCCGCCCATGTAGTCCATGAACGAATCCGTCAACATCTCCGTCAGCGCTGCCACGTGGCACCCCGCCATTGGCCGCACCACGACTGTGCCCCCCCTCGTCTCCGCCCGCCTCTCATACCCGCGAATAATCGCCACTCTCGCCGCCTCCTCCGCTTTCCCAACGGCATCACTACCGCCGTACCTGCTACTGTATGCTCCGGTGTCTCCCTGACTGGGGTATTCCCAGGGCGAGCTTTCTAGTAACCCTCCCGTTGTATTCTTCCCTGCGGCCTGCCCGTTCCGTTTCTCCTGTTCGTCCATCAGGTCCCTCGCTTTAGTCACGGCCTCCCACGTGGCACCCCAGTCGCGCCCAATCACTCCTTTTGAATCGCCGCTACTAGCCACCACTGCAGCCGCTGCTGCTAGTGCTTCCGCTATTGTTCGCGGTGCTTCTGGCGCTTCCGCCGGTGCTCCCGCTGTTGCCGATGTTCCGCTAGACGCCTCCGCTCTGTCTCCCGCTGCTGCTCCGCCTGCATTCCCCTGCTCCCGCCGTTCCCGCATTACCCGCAGCACCGGCGCGTCCAGGTCCGCCGCCTCCGCCTCCCCCGCTACCCATTCCGCGGGCGCGCGTCCCCCTCTACCCTCGTCTTCCGCTGGCCCTTCGCCATTTCCGCCTCCAAGTCCCCCCGCACGGGTGACCAGCCACCTTGGCGGAGCATCCGCGGAACGGCGCCCGCAGCCCTTGCGGGAAACGGCTAATGCGCGCTTAGAATGCGGTATTCTTCCGCCAATGAACTCGACCCTTCCGCAGCGTAGCCTCGTTGACGATGCATGGCGAGGTTGCAAGTCGACGTGGCTGACGACCGCGATGCGATCAAAGCGACGAGGGTCAAGGGTGGTGGAGGCGCGGATCGAAGGGGAGTAGCCTCTGCCTGGCGCGCCAACGGCAGCCATTAGCGCCATCTCGGGTGATGCAGAAGGCTCGCGGAGTTGCTAGGGGACACTTGTGATTGGGGTATGTGTGGGTGTTGAACGATATGTGAGAAAGTGGTCTGGCACAGAATTGTTGGCCGAACCGAACTGACGCGTGCCTCGGGTGTACTCGCTAAGGTTATGCTACAGTAAGGAGTTTAATTCCTTCCATTACGGGTGATCATAACACTTTCCTTGCATTAAGGGTGGATGGGCATGGGCGCGCCTTTTCCTTGGGCCTTCCTGCCTCAGGTGCTCACCATCACAGCTAGCAGCACGCAAGCAAGGCAACTGGGGTGCACGTAAAGAGCCAGCGCTCCACAACTTCATTCGGAGCTTTTATTCCTAGTAATACCACTTGTGGCGCTCATTCTCGTTCACAGCCAAAGATGCCACTCGCCCCTCCCTTCGCCGTGCGTGGTATTTGTCTTCCCCACGCAGCGCTGCTGTGCCTCGTCATTTCCATCGCGCTCTCCGCGCCGTGCGCCGTGCGCAGCGCGCAGGGTCCCACCGCGTCGTCGATAGCGGCGGCACTGGCGAGTGTATCATCGTCGTCGCCGTCGCAGTCGTTCGACGTGTTGCTGCTCGTCCTCAATGCCGCCGGGCTGCTCGCCAGCTGCCCGCACGCGCGCTGTTTACTCTCTTCGCTCCCACCGACGCCGCGTGGCGCGCCGCATTCCACGCCCTCGCCCTGCCGTGCGTCAACGCCTACTTTTCCTTCCCCGGCGGCGGCTTTGGATCCGGCGGTGGCGGCGGCGGCGGCGACACGCTCGTAAGCCCGGGAAGTTCGGGCGGCGCGTCAGACGGGTTGAGTTTGGAGAACATGACGCTTCCCGTCGACAAGTGGACCATGCCCGAAATCGGACCGTTGGATTTCGATCCAATCATCGCCGCATTAAGCGCCGTCTATTCCGGCGACGGGTCGCCCGCGTCGCTGGCGAAGGAGCGGCCCGAGGCGCTAAAGGCTCTGTCGGAGCTCCTCGCGTTCCACATGGCGACGTCGGCGCTGAACGTGGCGGCCATCGCGGCGCAGTTCACGGCGGATGCGGGCAACCTGACGACGGTGAACGGGCAGGGACTGTGGATCAACTACCACACGAGCCAATCCGCCACGCTGCTCAACGCGTACTCGCCCGCGCAGCGCGCGCTGATGATCAAGGGGGTGCTCGTGGCGGATGACGACACCACCGACGGGAATGACGGCACGCTGTTCTTCCCGAAAGGCACGACCATCGCCGCTAACGGAACCGTCCTGTTCGACCCCGAGACGATCCCGTATTGGGTGGACTGGAATGGCATGGAATTCTACATGAACGACACGATCGTCGCCGCTAACGGAACCGTCCTGTTTGACCCCGCGGATAGCCTGTCTTGGATTGAATACCATATGAGTCTGCTTGACAACGAGCCCAACGAGCAGTCGCCTCCCTCCAACAGCTCCGCGCACCCGCAGATTCAATCTGCAGAGCCTCCCCTGGCGGACCTTGTCCTCACCGAAAAGGCCCCCCGGCGCCTGGCGAACATGTACGCGTCGTGGGGCATGTGGGGCATGGGGGGGTTCGCGGAGTGGGAGGCGCGGCCGCCCTACTTGAGCGAGTGGAGTGAGGAGGAGCAGCAGCAATTGGCGAGCAAGGCGACGTGGTGGATGAACCGGATGGGACCCTCTCCGGCAGTGAGTACCTCGCGTGGCTCAACGCATACGAGGACGCGCAGGAGGAAGGCTCTGATACCATGTGGGAGCAGGCTGGCAGCGACATGAACGTGGCTCGGGTGGTGTGGGCTGATGTGATTGAGAGCGCTAGCATGGTGGTGCATGGCGTGGATGGCGTGTTGTTTCCCCGCCTCAGAGACAACTCGTATAATAACACGAACATGACAAGTAACGGCACGGCGGCCAATGGAACCAGCGACGGGAAAGCAAACGGGAGTAGTTCTGCCTATGGGAGTGGAAGGGCGGATGGCAGTCCTGCCAACAGCAGGGACTCCAGTGGAGGAAGCAGCAGCACAGTGCCCACTGCGGGGACAGCTGCGACTGGCACACCTGGAAATACCGGTGCTAGAGGTGAGCTTGTTCATCCTCTCTCTTCCCACATTCTCTTCTCTTCTAAACCAAAACACTTGTTCATAAGGATCTTCGATTTTGGTACTTCTGGAGGTTGCGAGCAGCGATTGGTGCCGGGTGTGCTATTGATGTCTAATTGCATCGAGATATCCATGACTATCTATGGTACAATGACAGGGTCACTTCAGAGGCCCGGGCTATCAGAGTGCACAGGTGGAGGGCCATACCTGGGTGAAAAGAAAACATCTTACCAGTCCCAGGACTTCAATATTGTCAATGGACAGGTTTTGCTGGCTTGAGTGTTGAATAAACTTCACAAAGCTAGACCTACCGTATTCATTTATTCCTCGACCTTTTCCTTACCCTTGGGCTGGCATGTGAGCTTGTGCGAGGGCGAGTGGGCCCTCTGGCACTCCCTGTTGCAGTAGGCAGCCTTGCCACACCGCGAGCATAGTTTCAGCTGCACCCCCGCCCCTTCCACCTCGCCACACTGTGCCGACGCACACCCACGCCACCCTCCCTTGTCACCGTGTCCCTCAGCTGTAGCAGCACCAGCAGCGTCAGCAGCGGCAAGGGCGTCCACCTTCCCCTGGGGGCAGTAGCTGGTCTCCCCCAGCAGCATCTCCCTCAAACACGCCAGAGGATTCACCCCCCCCGGCCACGGCTCCAGGTACGACGCCCCTGCCCTCCCCTTCTCCTTCTTCCCAGCATCCTTCCCGGCAGCCCTGAGAGCTTCATCTTCCATTATCGCACGCCACATGCCCTCACAGTAATCCTCTGACTCCTCTCTCCCCACACGCCCCACTCCTTTCCCTCCTCCTATCTGCAGCGGCGAGTCGTGGGCCTCCACAGCAGGCCACGCTCTCCCAACCGCAATGCACCAGCTGTCCACCTCCTCCCACATCCTCCACTCCTCCTCCCCCTGCTGCTGCTGCTGCCCCCCCCCCTTCCCCATTGGTGTCGACAGGTTCCAGAATTTTCGGAATGGCATTCTCCTTGCTCATGTGCAGCATGCCCACGAAGAGCAGCCTCAGGCGCTTCTCCTCTGCCACGCCTTCCACCAGCGAGTCCGGGACCACTGCAGGGACACGAGGCACGTGTAGCTTCTCCAAGAGGGATTTGAAGGTCGCGGAGCGGGCCGGGGAGAGCGAGAGGAGGCAGTGCAGCAACGTGGACGAGGGGCAGTAGGCGAAGGACGCGGCGATCGCTGTGTGCTTCACAACCCGGTAGTATTGGCAGAAGTAGCGGTAGCAGCGGCTACAGGCAGGCGCGGGAGAAATGGTGTCCGCGGTCAGCTTTATAAACGCCTCCACCTCCGTTCTCGACCGTAGGATGGGCTTGATCCTCCCCTCTGCATACGGCCCCAGGGCCAGAGCAGCCCACGCTCAATCCCCGAGGCCCAAGCTGCCACCCCAGGAGGTGATAGCCTAAAACAGAGGGCCGTTCCTGCGCTTCCTTGCCAGCTTCTTGGGGGCGAACCTTCTCAGAAACTCCTCCACGCGGTGGCCCAGCGTGGGGAAGAAGTGACCATTCAAGGTGTCCCGTAGAGTGCTCCCGACACCAGGGCTGCGATGGGAGGTGGACGCGGCGCCCCGGCGGGGCAGGTTCGGCCGCCCTACGTTGTACTCCTTATGCATCTCCCCCTCGTCCAACCCCTTGCCACCGCAAAATGCCCCCACGTGGAAAGTGTTGAGTCCCAAGAATCCGGGATCCTTCTCTACCTCTGCCACTGCCGCCCTGTCCCCTTCCGGAAATTCCTACCAAACCGCCCTTGCCAGACCTTCCTCGCCTGTGGCGGCCGAAAGCTTGGGCACGCCGAACCTCTGCAGCAGGCTCGGTAGGTCGTGAAGTGAATGTGGGAGCGCGGTGGCAAACCCTTGCGGGTCGTAGCATCTGCAGTGCTCAGAAGAATTGACCCTGGGGCCATAAAACCGCACCCAGCGTAGCAGGCAGGTGACTCGGTACGTGAACAGTGCCACCACCGCGTTACTGTTCACCGGCACCAGCCTGGCGCCAGCGCCGGCGCCGCTTGCACTGCTGGACCCTTTGGTCCTCGGACCTGTAGACCCAGCAGCAGTAGCAGCAGGAGACACTGTTGGAGCCTCTGGTTCCACTGCTTGCTTTCCTCGACCCTGCACTCCATTGCCAACTGTTCCTCTCTCCCCCGCTGCAAGCCTGTTCACTGCTCCCTCCACGGCAGCGTCTTCCACGCTCTCCTTGTGGCGGTGGGCAGCACAGTCGAAGAAGACGATCGCAGCATTGTTGGCGAACATGGGCTCGCAAAAGAGAGTGGCGCAATTGAGGGCGAACTCTGTGGGGTCCACACCCGATACCACCATGCCGCTGCTGCCGGGTGGGACTCCCACAGCCGCAGTCGCTCTTCCCTCGGTGCCCTCTCCTTTACAACACTGCGAGCAGCAGCAGCGGTACCGCTCGCCTGCCAGCCCTCCCTAGGCGGCAATCTCCCCCATGCGTTCCACATACTCCTACCACTCCACCCCCCTCAACCCGTCCTTCCACTCCTCCCCCTCTCCCACCTCCCTCCCTCGACTTTCTCCTTCCTCTCCCGCCTGCACATGCGCGTCCCTTCCCCCCGGCAGCAGCGGCAGCAGGTGGGCAGCAAAGCCGGTCTCCAGCTGTTCCTTCCCCTTCACTCCCAGCACATGCAGCAGCAGCAACGCCACACAGTCATCCTGCGCCTGCCGCCCCGCACCAAAATGAAACGCCAGGTGGGGAAAGATCACAGAACTAGACTGGACGTGCGACCGCCAGAGAGCAACGAAGCGGGGGAACTTGGCGACAAGCACGATGAAAGCAGCGATGGACATGGCACGGCGGTAGCGCGTCCAGCAGTCAATGCACAGCCAGCAGCACCACCACAGGCGAGGGCTACCTGCCGCCCTCGTGCCTCTATCCCCAGCAGTGCCTCTAGTCCCAGCGGTGTCTCTAGCCCCAGTGGTGCCTCTTGCCCTGGCTGTCGCACGCGCAACAACTATATCATGCATGCTCAGATGATCTGCCAGCTGGCGCCTGAGATTTTAGAGGTCCAGTAGCAGGCCGACACGTGGCTCTGCCAGCCATTCGAGCGTCATCCCCTCTGCTGCAACCACAGGCGCTGCGTCCACCTTCCACCGATACTGGTCTGCCAAGGAAGGTGCTGCTGTGCGCTCTTCAGCAGCAGCACTGGCAGCAGCAGCTGCAATAGAGGCGCCAACGCCAGCATTGGCACCGCTGTGGAGATTAGAACGAGTGAATGATTGAACTATGAAAGAGTTGGGTACAAGTACTAACCCTAATTGGGTTGTACCCCTTATGGGCTACCCCACTACAGCCTACACAAATGTATAAGCTATAATGTTCTGACAACCGCTTGGAGGGCGAAGAGGAGGGGCGGAGAGCGGGACAGCGGCGGAGTAGGCAGTGATGAAGCGTGGGGGCTTAAGGCCGAAGCGGAAAGGCGGCATGGAGCGCACCACTGGCTTCTGCAAGTGCTTGCGAAGAGAGGCGAGGCTTGAGATCTGGAAGGCGGTGGGCGGGGCGGGGCGGAGCATGCGGGGGAGGCAGCAGGCGCAGAGGGAGTGCGACCATGGCAGGTGCACGTCCACGTAGTGCACCATGTGCGCGCGCGTTAGCGGTGCGTGCTCCGCGTGGAAGGGGCTGCCAGCGCTCTTGCTGCTGCCAGCCCTGCTGCTGCAGTGCACCGCGTGCACCATCAGCCTGCTGCTGCTGCTACTGCCTCTGCCGCTGCCGCCGCCACCGCCGCCGCCGCTGCTGCTGCCGCTGTTGCTGCTGCTGCTGCTGCAGGGTCCACTGTTGTTACCATTGGTAACATCGGTGCCATTGTTAGTGCTTGCGGCAGTGGCAGCGGTAGTGGTACTGTTGTCCGCTTTTGTGTCGTTGCTCATGGCAGCGGCAGGCGCAGGGTGTCAGAACATATCTATAGCTTATACTATTGTGTAGGCTGTAGTGGGGTATCCCATAGGGGGTACAACCCAGTTAGGGTTTCATATTTGTACTGCCTTCATTCATAGTCCACACATTCCTGTTCTACAATTCTCACATGGTATAGAGCGGGTTCCCTGTGGGAACTTCGCCTAGGGCCCACCGAAGCGCGCCCCGAGGCGCGCTAACTTTTTTTTTTTTTTCCTCTCGCTCGAGCGACCCTCCGTGTCGCCCTTCCCTCGCGGCCCTGCCGCCCCTTCGGACGCGGCCCTGCCGCCATTTCGATCGCGGCCCCGCCGCCTACTCAGACGCGGCCCCGCCTCCTGCTCAGCCGCGGCCCCGCCGCCCGCTACGACGCGGCCCCGCCGCCCGCTACGACGCGGCCCCGCAGCCTGCTCAGCCGCGGCCCCGCCGCCTGCTCAGACGCGGCCCCGCCGCCCGCTACGACGCGGCTCCGCCGCCTGCTCAGACGCGGCCCCGCCGCCCGCCCAGTCGCGGCCCCGCCGCCTGCTCAACCGCGGCCCCGCCGCCCACTACGACGCGGCCCCGCCGCCCGCTACGACGCGGCCCCGCCGCCTGCTCAGCCGCGGCCCCGCCGCCCGCTCAGACGCGGCCCCGCCGTCCCTTTCTGACGGCCACGCCGTCCCCTTCTGACGGCCCTGCAGCCGCGCCTGACGGCCCCGCCGTCCCCTCTACCGGCTCCGCCGCTGCACCCGACGGCCCCGCCGTCCCCTCTGCCGGCCCCGCCGCTGCTTCAACCGGCCCCGCCCCTACCCCTACCGGCCCCGCTGCTGCACCTGTCGGCCCCGCCGCCCCAGCAGCCGAGCCGCAGTAGCAGCCGAGCCGCCCCAGTAGCCGAGCCGCCCCTGCAGCCGAGCCGCCCCAGCAGCCGAGCCGCCCCCAGCAGCCGAGCCGCCGAGTCGCCCGAGCCGCCCAGCAGCCGCGTCGCCGAGCCGCCCGAGCCGCCCGAGCCGCCCGAGCCGCCCGAGCCCTCCCTGCACTGCCCTGTCTGGTGAGCACTGAGCTTTACTCTGCGCACTGCCCTCTCTCTACTGCTGTCATGGCTACCCCCAGTGTCCTCACCTTTGACGCTGAGGGCAGAGCCATCGACTTTGACGTGTGGGTAGATGACCTACTGCTTTTCCTACAGTGCGACAGAGCTGACGGCCTCTCTCTCTTTGATCTCACTTCTGGTGCCTCTCCCGCCCCTGCTGCTACTGAGGATGCCACTGTTCCCTCACAGTGGGCCACACGCGATGCTGCTGCACGTCTTGCTGTGCGTCGCCACCTCCCTCCCGCTGAGCGTGCGCACTTTGGGTCGTACAAGAGTGCTCAGACCTTGTACGACGCCGTTATTGCACGCTACTCCACCCCTGCCACTGCTGCACTGAGCCGCTTCATGCTACCGTACCTCTTTCCCGACCTTGCTGCTTTTGCCACAGTAGCCGACCTCATTACCCACCTGCGCACTAGTGACGCTCGCTTCCGCGCTGCACTTCCTGCTGAGTTCTGCGCCAAGAACCCCCCCCCCCCCAGTACTTCACTCTCTACTACATTGTCACCCGCCTCCCTGACTCCCTTCGCGGAATCAGGGACGACCTACTCGCAGTCTGCCCCACCACTCTCACTGTCGAGCTCCTCGAGAAGTCCCTCCTAGCAGCCGAGAAGAGCATTCTCGCTGTAGGGGCCTCTCGTGGTGACCCACGCACCCCCATCTTTGAGGGGTGTTCCCCCTCCCCCCTCCTGCCCTTTGTCGCCTCTGCTGCTACGGCCGACCTTGTTGGTTTTGAGTCGGTCGGTGCGGCGTCTGCCCCCAGCGGGAGACGTCGCTCTGGCAAGAGCAAGGGAGGCAGGGGCGGTGGTGGAGGCCGCGGGGGCGGTGGAGGCGGCGGGAGAGGCAGCGGAGGAGGTGAGGGTGGTAGCGGGAGTGGTAGCGGGAGTGGAGGTGTCGGCGGAGGCAGTGGAGGCGGGTGCGGCAGCGGCGGTGGTGGTGGGAGTGAAGGCGGAGGCGGCGGTGGCGGCGGCGACGGTGGGAGTGGCGGTGGCAGCGGAGGTGGTGGCGGCGGCGGCGGAGGAGGCGGCGGAGGTCGTGGCTCGTCGAGGAGGAGTGGCTCCGGTGGTGGTCACCGCCAGCAGCAGCAGCGTGGTCAGGAGACCCTCTCCCCGCAGCAGCTCCGTGAGTGGTACTCTGCACGTCAGCGGGGTGGGGGTGCTGGTCCGTGCACTTATGTCCTGCGCACTGGCGACCGTGCGGGTGAGCAGTGTGGTGGTCCACACCCCGCCCAGCGTTGCTTCGGCCGCCTGACTGACGCTTGGCGCCGCCAGTTTCCTGACGCCTCTGAGATCCCTCGCTGGGACCAGCTGTCTAGGTCAGGAGTAGCTATCTTTGATCTTGACTTTGATGCTATTCTTGCTGCCATGTATGCTGTGACTATTAGTGAGGAGGGTGACTGTTACCGGTGTTTCCCGCCCGACCCGGGCATTGGTACTGCGGCTCTAGGTGCTGTTGAGGCTACTGCTCCAGGTGCTGGTGAGGCTGTTGCTCTAGGTGCCAGTGAGTCTGAGTCCTCAGGTGCTGGTGAGTCTGCTCTCTCAGGTACTGCGTCGGCTCCGCCCTCTCTCACTTTCACTCTTGACTCCGGGGCGTCTCGCTCCTTCTTTTGAGACCGCACCACACTCACGCCACTTAGTCGGCCAGTGGCGGTCTCCCTGGCAGACCCCTCTGGGGGTCCTGTTCTGGCTCGCTACTCCACTGTCCTGCCGTGCCCTGCGGTCCCGTCTGGCGCCCTGTCCGGTCTCTACCTCCCCTCGTTCTCTACGAACTTGGTGGCGGGTGCTGACCTACAGGATGCAGGGGTTGACCAGTTCACCCCTGCGCGCCGACGGGTCACCCACTGCACGGACGCGGACACGGGTCGACACCTGACCACGTTCATACGTGGGCCGGGGTCGAGCCTGTACACACTCACTGTTCCGTCTCCTCCTCCTGCGTCTGGTCAGGTAGCTTCGTCGGGTCAGGTGTTTGCTGCAGCGCCCAGGTCTGGTCCTGAGTCTGCCCCCTGCTCGTGTCTCCTCCTGTCCCACGAGACCCTCCTGTGGCACCACAGGATGGGTCACCCCTCCCTGCCTCGTCTCCGGGGCATGGTCTCTCGCCTTCTCGTCTCTGGCCTTCCCCGGTCCCTACCTCCCCTTCCTCCAGGGCCTGGCCCTCCCTGTGTCCCCTGTGTCGAGGGTCGCCTGCGGGCTGCCCCTCACTCCTCCCCGTTTCCTCCGACGGAGGCCCCGATGCAGACACTTCACATGGACGTGTGGGGCCCAGCCCGCGTCCGTGGACAGGGTCACGAGCGCTACTTCCTGCTGGTGGTTGACGACTACTCGCGTTACACCACAGTCTTCCCCTTGCGCAGCAAGGGTGAGGTCACTGAGGTGTTGATCGACTGGATCCGCGCAGCTCGTCTCCAGCTCAGGCGGAGCTTCGGCTCGGACTTTCCTGTTCTGCGTCTGCATTCGGACAGAGGCGGAGAGTTCTCCTCCGGCCTTCTGCAAGCCTACTGTCGGGCACGAGGCATCCGCCAGACCTTCACGCTTCCGGACTCTCCACAGCAGAATGGGATTGCTGAGCGCCGCATCGGCATTGTCATGGACGTCGCCCGTACGTCCATGGTGCATGCGGCTGCCCCCCATTTTCTGTGGCCGTTTGCGGTTCGGTACGCCGTGCATCAGATCAACCTTCAGCCCAGAGTCTCCCGACCGGAGACCTCCCCAGCTTTGTTGTGGACGGGGAAGGTTGGCGATGCGTCGGCGTTCCGTGTCTGGGGATCTCGGGCGTTTGTCCGCAACTTGTCTGCGGACAAGCTGTCCGCTCGTGCTGCTCCCTGTGTCTTCCTTGGCTTCCCCACAGACGCTCCCGGGTGGCAGTTTTACCACCCCTCCTCTCGTCGTGTTCTGTCCTCCCAGGACGTCACGTTCGACGAGTCAGTCCCCTTCTACCGCCTCTTCCCCTACCGCACTCCTTCCCTCCCCCCTCCGCCGGACTTCCTTGTGCCAGTTCCCCCCCCCGGTAGACCCCCTCCCCCCTCAGGTTCCTGCCCCCTCAGGTGTGTCCCAGGTAGACGCAGTTGACCCGGTCGAGGTTACTGGTGACTCTGGTGCTGCTGCAGGTGCTGAGCCTGGGGGTGCTGACTCTGGGGGTGCTGTGCGCGGGGGTGCCGAGCCTGGAGGTGCTACTACTGGGGGTGCTGAGCCTGGGGGTGCTGGGCCTGGGAGTGCTACTGCGGAGGGTGCTGAGCCTGGGGGTGCTGAGCCGGGGGGTACGGTGCCTGGAGCTGCTGAGCTAGGGGGTGCTGGGTCTGGGGGTGCTGGGTCGGGAGCTGCTGAGCCTGGGGGTAGTGAGTCTGGAGCTGCTGAGCCTGGGGGTGCTACGTCTGGAGCTGCTGGGCCTGGGGTTTCTCCTGCTGCTGCGTCTCGCCGGGAGCCCCTCTCTCCACAGGAGCTGCGCGAGTGGTTTGCCCGCCGCTGGAGGCGTGCTGCTGGAGCTGGAGCTTCTTTGACCGTCGAGGGTGCTGGTGCTGCCGGTCCCGGAGCTGCTGGGCCTGCGGGTACTCCTAGAGCAGGAGCTCCTGAGGGTGTTGTTGCTGAGACTACTGCTGTCTGTCCCAGCGGTGGTTCTGCTGCTGGTGCTGCTGGAGGTCCTGCCGCTGGAGGTGTTGGTGGCGCTGGTGCTGTCGCTGAGGGTGCTGGTGCTGTCCCTGCTGAGTCTGGAGCTGCCGCG